TTGAACATATGTTAAAAAACACATGATTAAAATATGTTTAAAATATGTTTACTATATATCAAAAATATGTCAAAATTTATGAAAAAAATGTGATATTTATATTTTTATTATATATCAAAAATATCATTATAATATATTGCAAGTAATACAATTTATTATATATTAAAAATACACTAAAATATTACAATTATACATTTTACATTGAAATTATAATAAAAACAAAACTATTATAATGCCTTCACTGCACAATTTTTGTTACATTCTTGATTTGGATCATTGTGATTTATTCGCAAGGAAATTTCCAAGTCAAATCATGTGACCTTTCTGTACGACCCTCTCAATGATAAGGAAACAAAATTATTACTGTACTTTTTTGTATGTTCGCCATTCTCACATCTTATCTCCCTTTTGCAACTCTCCTGGTCACTTCCTTTCCATCTCATTTGGAGGTCACACTTATTCTTATGCGATTTTCTTCAGACTGTTAAATACTGTAAGTTGCGGGTAGGATAATAAATAGTAGTAGTAATTAGTCTAGATTTCTTGTATGATATTTTGCAATACACTGTAGGTTATTTTTATTAGTATATTTGCTTGTTTGTGGACATGTAAATTTTCAATAAGTAATTTTATTTCTATTTATACAATACAAGATGCTTGATCATTTAAAAAAAAAGTAAAGTCAAAACATTAGTAAAAAATTCGTTAAAGAAATAAAACCAAAGGAACTTCCAATACTTACCAAAATCTACAAATCCAAGGTTCCATTGCCTAAAAATGAAATAAATAAAATTGAAATTTTAATAAAATGCTCAATAAAGAAAATTTTTTAAAAAAAATTCTGAAGATTCTTACAATAAATTAAGTGTATGCACAACTGTTTAAAAAAAAGAAATAAATAAACTGTTAGTAAAGTTCGCTAAAAATAAAAAAAATTTAATAAAAAATTTTGAGACTAACCAAAATCCTGAGCTAAGAAACTAAAGAGCTGCTAAAAAAGAAAAAATCAAAATGTTACAAATGACAGTTCGTCAAAGAGGTCCTGCACATCCAAAGTAATTCAGCCAGTTCAGTTGCCTAAAAAGAAGAAACAAATGAACATTTAGCAAAAGTTTATTAAAAAATATAAAATAAACAAATAATAAAATCACACCCTAAAAATCTGCAACTACAAAAGAAAGAAAAATGAAAGGATGTTGATAAATGTTTCATTTCGTCAAAAAAGAAAAAAAAAGATAAAAAAGTTACCAAAAGTCCACATCTAAAGAGACAGCATCCAAAGAGGCCAGACATGCCATAATAAGAGCTACAAAAGAAAAAAATCAAAACATTAATAAATATTTGTTAAAATAGAAATTCTAAAAAAAGAAATACCCACTCAATTCCAACGCGCACAAAGATTTAAAAACTTGCTAAAAAAGAGAGTAAATTGTAACATTAGTAAAATGTTTTGAAACTTTTAAAAACTTCCGAATACCCTTACCAAAAATCAACATATCTGAAGATACCATTATCTAAGAAATGTTTCGTTGCTATAAGATAAATAATTAAAAAAAAACTTCCTACTGTACTCACATTCTAAATACCATAGAACTAAGCCATCTAAGAATTAAGAAAACAACCATTAAAAATTATTTGATAAAAAACAAAACAATTAAAGAAAACAAAATTGACAAATTCTACTGGAGGAGCTGAAAGAATTACCTAAAAAAAGCTTCCAGTTTCAGCATTTGAAGGGTATTTAACAATATGTTACGCTACTATTGGAATATCTTCCAATCATTTCTGTTGATACTCTGCATTAATTATATATCTGGAGATTTGAAAAATATGAATCTGAGAAGAAACTGCTCTTATCTCCTTTTCCTTATCATTTTTTACACAACAAAATATACTTACGCCTAATACTAAACAACCTCCTACTATTTATTGTACCAAAGTGAATTTCAAATGAATGAAATTCAATATGGAAGCTAAAATCAAAATGTAAAATGTTAAAGAATTTTTGATTTTCTCTTGTGGGTACTTTTCACTTTTTTTTTAAAACTATGTATGAGAGAGAGGAGGGAATGATTGAAAGAAGGAAAATAGGAAATAGAGAGTAAAAAATAACAAAGTGGTGACCATATGGTGTTGAAATATATTATAACATTGATAAAGTGTTAGAAAAAATTAAAAGAATAGTTAAAAGTTTAAATAAAAAAATAAAATAAAATAAACTTTGTTAAAAAAAAGAGTTAAAAAAAGTT